AAATATATATTAAAAAAAAAAAAAAAAAAAGGTGCAGCAGGAGTTTGACCAGGAATCTCCACACCACACCTGGCCCACCTTTGGGTGGGGCCTAGACCAGGGAGAGAAGCAAAGGAAGGGCCGGGAAGTCCAGGAGGTCCTGCTGGGGGTCAGGCCCGGAGGTAAGGCCCGGAGGTCGGCGGGAGGAGGGGGCTGCACCTCGCTGGCCCTCCCCTCCCCCTCCCCGGTGGCACCACCAGGCACGCAGCCGCACATCGCTCGTGCCAGCCCTCACCTCCCGGCAACGTCGCCGCGTTCGCAGCCCCGCCATCTGGCATGCCCGCCGCTCCGGCACTGCGGCGGCGGGGGAGGGGGCAGCGGGGCAGTGCCCACCGGAGCCGGGAGGAGCGGCAGGTCCCCCTCCCCCGACGTCCATGAGGACTCGAGGTGGGGCCGGGGATGGGGAGGGGGCAGGCGCTCCTGCCCTTCAGGTGGAGGCTTCCAGCATCCCCAACGATGGAGCAGGCACCGGCACCGTCTGGGCAGTGCCAGCCGGCCCCCTCCCCCCAGCACAGCCATTGCCAGGAGCGCAGCCGAGGGTCTCCAGACCCCGCCTGCCCCCCACACCGGCGGGGGGGTGGGAGAGCAGGCCGCCCCCCCCAGCCCCTGGCCCGCCCCGCGGGAGGCCCCGGAGAGGCTGTGGACTCGGCCCGGCGAGGGCCGGCTTCTCCTCCACCTGCCCCGCTGGGGGGGGCTCCTCCCGCGCCGCCCCGCCCGTCCTCTCAGGGAGGCGGCGGAGCCTTGCAGAGGTGGCGGCTGTTTATTTTGGTGGAGCCGGAGGGCAATGAGCGGTTCACAGAACAGCAGCCCGGGCCCGAGCGAGATTCCCCCGGACTGCGGAGGAATGCCCGCCTCCGCCCGCCCGGCCCGCCCCCGCACAGAGCCCTCCTGCCCCCACCGGCCCCTCCCGCCCTACCCCCCTGCAACCACCCCCTTCCAGCCCGCCAAGCCCGAGACTGCCCCAACCCCCTGACCCCTACCCCCTGACCCCCCCTCCCCCAGGCTCTGCCCCGCCCCTCAACCCCGCCCAGGCCCCGCCCCCGGTCCTGCCCCCAGGCTCCGCCCCAGCCCAGATCCCCTGGTCCCGCCCCTGCCCCTGCCCCTGCCCCATCAACAGGCCCCGCCCCTGGTCCCGCCCCTGCCCCATCAACAGGCCCCGCCCCTGCCCCATCAACAGGCCCCGCCCCTGGTCCCGCCCCTCCTCATGCCCCGCCCCCAGGCCCCGGCTGCACAAAATGGCCGCCGCCCCCCCTCAGGCGCCATTTTAGGTGCCCAGACTGTGGCCTACCCTGGGATGGGCTGTGACCCCATGGGGACCTCAGACCTGGCTCCCAGCGCCCCCCCCCCCGGGGAGGAGGGTGGGCAGCGGAGGTGGGTCTCCAGGCCTGGCTGTGGCCCCAGGCCTTTCCCCTCAGAGGCCGGGAGGCCCAGGCCTCTCCACTCCCTCCCGGTGCCAGGGAGGAGCAGATGGCATCCTGTGCCCGCTCCTCCTCCTCCTCCTCCTCCTCCACCGCCGGCCCGTGTCCCAGTCCCTGTGTCCCCGGCCCGTCCGGGCGGAGGGCGCAGAGGGCCGGCACCGGGCGCCGGGCACGTGCCGTGTGTTGTGCCTCCAGCCTGTCTGCGCATCCCACACGTCCCTCTGCTCCACTTTCCCGGGTTTTTATTGTCTCTTCTAAATAAAGTTGAAATGTGTTGAGTGAGAAAAACTTGTTCCATTTTTCTGAAGGAAGAAAAGACAGGGCAGGCAGCAGGCGGGAGGGAGGAAGGTCTGTGCTCCTGCGCCCCCCTCCCTACATTCCCCCCTCTTCTCCGGGGCCCAGCCCGTCCGCAGGTGACAGCGGACAGGAGCAGCTGCTGGGGCTCCCCTACCCCAAGCAACGTCCTGCCCTTTGCCCCTGCCTGGAGCGGGGTGGGGCGTGGGAGACTAGACCCGACCTCAATGTCCAAAGAAGGGGTCACTGGGTATCTTTCTACCCCAAGAATGATACTTGCCACCTGCAAGTTCTATGGAGATTCACTTACTCACCTGTTCATTCACCCATGAACCCAACAGAAACCCAGTTCCTACAGAGCCATTCTAAAAGCACCCTATAAAGCATCCCACATGTGTGTGGGGTGTGTGTGTGTGTGTGTGTGTGTGTGCACGAAACTAATATTGTAAAGCGTTTACCGTTTACAAGGCGCTTCAATAAAAAGGAGCGCTGGCATTTCTGAAGCCTCACTGTCGCTGGCCCTGTGCTGACCTCATTACATACATCATCCCGTTTAATGCCCACCACCGCCCTAGGAGGTGCAGCACAATTACCCATTTTATAGACGGGGAAATGGAGGCTGCGAGATGTGACGGGACTTGCTCCAGGCACTCAGCCTTCTGGAAAGCTGGGGAAAGAGGGCTTGGCCAGGAACCAGAGCCCAAAGCATGTCAGGCCACCAGAATGCCATACAACTGTGGGGGCTGGAGTAGGGCCCCGTGTCCGGATTGGAGACTCCGCCCCTTGGGGCAGTAAAGCTCCGCCCCTCCTCAGGCCCATCCTCCTTCCCTCTCCGCAGTGGCCAGAATGCCCCAGCCCGGCTGCTATAGGCAGGGTTCTACGTCCCAGACCCACACCCATGGGCGGAGCAAGCTCACCATCAGCTTCTCCCGGGGAGACCGCTGAGGACTGTGGGATGTAGAAGGAGTAGGGCTGGGAGTCCAGCCCCCGCTTCTGCTCTCCGCCTGGGTGTTCCTAGGCAGGTCAGCTCCCCTCCATGGGCCGCTGAAAGGAGTTGGGACTTGTTTATTATTATTATTATTATTATTATTATTATTATTATTATTCAATTGGGATTTAAAAAATATTTATTTTGTATTGATTTCAGAAAGGAAGGGAGAGGGAGAGAAATATGGAAACATCAGTGATAGGCCCTAGCTGGTTTGGCTCAGTGGAGAGAGTGTTGGCCTGCAGACTGAAGGGTCCCACTTTCCATTCTGGTCAAGGGCACCTGCCGCTGTGGGCTTGGTTCCCAGTTGGGGGCGTGCAGGAACATGTTTCTATCTCTCTTCCTCTCCCTTCCTCTCTGACATAAATTTTAAAAAATACATTAAAAAAAAAGGAACATCAATGATGGGAGATGATCATCGATTGGCTGCCTCCTATATGCCGGCACAGTGGGGATTAAGCCCACAACCCGGACATGTGCCCTGATGGGAATTGAACTGTATTGTGACCTCCTGGTTCATAGGTCGATGCTCAACCACCAAGCCACGCCAGCCCTGTTTTTCTGAGGCTCCTTATGGTTCCCATCCAGAGCCTAGGAGAGCCTCCTCCGATGGCACCAGCCCCTCCTCCTCCTCCTCCTTCTCCTTTTCCTTCTCCAAGGCCTCCTTCCCCAATGGATGTGCCTCCTTTTAGAGCCAAGCTCCTCTACCAAGCACCGGCTCGGGGTCCTTACAGCCCAAGAGCCCTCCAAGGCTCCTAGAGGGAGGAAACAAAGTCTGTCCGGACTGAGGGTGAAGTCCCCCCTTTGCCCCACACAGAGCCTGGCACACGGTCACCATCAAAGTGTGTGTGTGTGCGTGTGCGTGTGTGTGTGCGTGTGTGTGCGTGCGTGTGTGTGTGTGTGTGTGTGTGTGTGGTTAAGGTAGAATTGAAATCAAATCGTCTGGGCATGTGTAATCTGGAGGGCGGGGAGAAGGACGGGAAATGTGGGGCTGACACACAGATGCCTGAATCAGAGTGTGGGCAGGGGGCTCGCTACGCCTGGCTCTGATGGCCCGCTCACACACAGGTATCTACCTGAGTAGGGTGTGTACACATTTTCCCCACCAGAGTGAGGAACAGGTGTGTGTGTGAGTGTGTGTGTGTGTGTGTGTGTGTGTGAAGTTACCTCCCTCAACCCATGCCATTTGCATCTGTGTCTGGCCCGGTGAGAGCCAGTGAGAGGGTAGGGTGAAAGGTGAGCTGTAATATAACACAGCAATGTCCTCCCTTTCTTATCAAGACACCTGTCTGACCCACCTGCCCTTGGTCACTCGGAACTGCTGCACTTGGCTTCCGTGCTTTCAGTATTTTGTATTTATTTTTACTTTTTGCAGGGAGAGAAGGCTTGAGTCTCCTCCGAGAACTTTAGGCCATTCCCAGGCCAGCCCCCGCCCCCCCCATACGGGGGTCAGAGGCCAGGAGAGGAAGATGCTGGTGGGATGGCCGCCTGTCTAGCAGGGGGAGGGGATGGTGTCGGGGAGGAGTGAGGGGTTTCTGGGTTAGGAATCCAGACTGAGACCCTCTCCCCCACCCCCAGATGGCGGGTGCAGAGGCTCATCCCTGGATTCCTTGCTACTCCACCCCAACATAACATGCCCCAGACACGCGAGGAAGCCTCTCCCATCAGCTGACTCCACAGATACACACACACGTCCCCACAGACACACACACGCCCATGCAGCGGCTCAGACATCCAGGCGAGTCTTCCCTTTTCTCTGTCTTTCCCTGGGTTTGAATTTCGTTCAGCCACATATGTTGTGTGCGCGTGAGGGTGGGTGGGGGAGGGGCAGACAGGGATGAGGGATGGCATGGTGCCAACACCTACCTATGGGGCTTGGGCCAGGGACGCCCCCCACAGCCACCCTGGGAGGGGCCCCAGCTGTCCCCTCGTAGCCAAGGGGACTCTCCTGGGGGTGGCAAGCACAGAAGTCCCTTCTCAGGACTTGAGGGTCTGGTCCCTGACCCACCTTTGGGGGCCTGCGAGGGGAAAGATGGGCAGAGCAGGACCCCAGAGGAAGCATGGAATTCGGGGCCACCCCCCCTCCCATTTCCAGTCCTGCCACCCCATTGTTCCCATGTGGGGGCTCTATGGGGGGGCAATTCCTCCCCCTCCCTCTCAATCCCTGCTTCCCCTGCTTTGGGCGGAGAGGGGAGGGCAGCAGAGATATTTATTTATTTCCTTTATTTATTTAATTTTTTTTTTTTTTTTTTTTTTGGAGTAGAGAGTGACAGATGGCGGCGGGTCCCGGGGGAGCCGGCTCTCCCCCAATGCAGACGCATGCCAATCACCGTCTCTCATGTGATAGCTGCTGCCCGTGACGTGCCAAGCCCATATGGCCTGGCATAGAGGCTGGTACCCCGCCTGGTAGAGATGCCACACTCGCTCCGCGGTTCGCATGGCGCTCTGAAGACGCCGGTGCCCGCCGCCTGGAGGAGCCGCTGCCCCGCTCCCTGAAGATGGGGGAACAATGAAATAGGCGAGAGGATCCCGGCTCCCCCTCTCTCTCTGGCCCCCTCCCCTCCCCTCCCCTCTCCCCCGGACTCCTCTCCGAGGTAAGTTGTCCGAGAGAGAGCCGGGTCCGACCCGCCGGCGGAGGGGGGGCGGCTCCGGCCACCGGAGGGTCCCCCGACCCCCCCTCCTGGGGACGGCCTCTCGCGGGGTGGGCGGCGGAGGCGCCCGGGGTCCCGCGCCCCCAGGGCTGCCGCTGGGGGCTTGGGAGGGGGCGGCCCGGCGAGGGGCCGGGGAGGGCGCAGATCGCCCGGCGGCCGCGGAGGCTGAGACGGGACCACCCGGGGTCGGTCCTCCCGGAGGAACCTGCGACCTTCCCCGTTAGAGAGAGAGAGAGAGAGAGAGAGAGAGAGAGAGAGAGAGAGAGAGAGAGGGATAGATTTGGATTTTCCCCCATCAACCCCGAAAACACAACGAGATCAGGAGAGCGATGTGGGAGGGAGGCCGTCTGGCGGGGGGCAGGGGGTCCCCGGCCGCAGGGGAGATGGCGGGCGGGCCTCCGGGTCCCCTCCCCGCGCCCGGTGCCGGGTCCGAGCCGCCCAGAGCCGCGGGAGCCGCCGGAGCCCGGGCCGCGCGGCCTGAGGAGCCGGCGCTCCGCCCCGGGAGCCGGGCTGCGGGGGTGGGGGCCCGGCTGGGGGCGGCGCGCGGCCAAGTTGCAAATGGAATTGGGGGGCCGAGGGGTGGGGGGGGCCGGCGGGGCCGGGGCGCCGGGGCCTGAGCGGGCAGCGGTCCCCGCCGGCGGCCGCCCAGCCCTCCTCCCCGCCGGCAGCCGGGAGGCTCTGGGGCCGGAGCGCCGCCTCCCCGGCGAGATCGCCCTTCCCCGGAGCCCCGGCCCGGCCCCCGCCCGGCCCCCGAGAAGACCGGGGCGCGGGGGGCAGCCGGGGCCCAGCGCGGGCAGCCGGGCCTGGGCCGGGATCGGGCGGCCGGCGGGCCGGGCTGGGCGGCTCCGGGCGGGGCGGGCGGAGGAGGGGGCGTCCGGGGCCCTGGCGGGGAGCCCGCCCGGGACTGGGGGGCAGTGGGGCGGGGAGGGCTCTGACCCGGGCGCGCCCCTCACTCTGCGCTCTGTCTCCCTCCGCCCGCGGGCGCCCCCAGGCACCATGCTGACCCGCCTGTTCAGCGAGCCCGGCCTGCTCTCGGACGTGCCCAAGTTCGCCAGCTGGGGCGACGGCGACGACGACGAGCCGAGGAGCGACAAGGGCGACGCGCCGCCGCCGCCGCCGCCGGGGCCGGGCGCTCCGGGGCCCGCGCGGGCCGCCAAGCCGGGGCCTCTGCGGGCCGAGGAGGCGCCGGACGCCGCGCTGGCCGAGGTGAAGGAGGAAGGCGAGCTGGCGGGCGAGGAGGAGGAGGACGAGGAGGAGGAGGAAGGGCTGGAGGAGGCCGAGGGCGAGCGGCCCAAGAAGCGCGGGCCCAAGAAGCGCAAGATGACCAAGGCGCGCCTGGAGCGCTCCAAGCTGCGGCGGCAGAAGGCGAACGCGCGCGAGCGGAACCGCATGCACGACCTGAACGCGGCGCTGGACAACCTGCGCAAGGTGGTGCCCTGCTACTCCAAGACGCAGAAGCTGTCCAAGATCGAGACGCTGCGCCTGGCCAAGAACTACATCTGGGCGCTCTCGGAGATCCTGCGCTCGGGCAAGCGCCCCGACCTGGTGTCCTACGTGCAGACGCTGTGCAAGGGCCTGTCGCAGCCCACCACCAACCTGGTGGCCGGCTGCCTGCAGCTCAACTCGCGCAACTTCCTCACGGAGCAGGGCGCGGACGGCGCGGGCCGCTTCCACGGCTCCGGGGGCCCGTTCGCCATGCACCCCTACCCGTACCCCTGCTCGCGCCTGGCGGGCGCGCAGTGCCAGGCGGCGGGCGGCCTGGGCGGCGGCGCGGCGCACGCCCTGCGGACCCACGGCTACTGCGCCGCCGCCTACGAGACGCTGTACGCGGCGGCGGGCGGCGGCGGCGGCGCCAGCCCGGACTACACCAGCTCCGAATACGAGGGCCCGCTCAGCCCGCCGCTCTGCCTCAACGGCAACTTCTCGCTCAAGCAGGACTCGTCGCCCGACCACGAGAAGAGCTACCACTACTCTATGCACTACTCCGCGCTGCCCGGCTCGCGGCCCGCGGGCCACGGGCTGGTCTTCGGTGCGTCCGCCGTGCGCGGGGGCGTCCACTCGGAGAATCTCCTGTCCTACGATATGCACCTGCACCACGACCGGGGCCCCATGTACGAGGAGCTCAACGCGTTTTTCCATAACTGAGACCTCGGGGCCGCCCCTTCCTTTTTTTTCTTTGGCCTTGGCCCGCGCCCCGTCCCCAGCCCCTTGAGCGCGGGGGCGCCCCCAGGGCGCCAGGCGGCGCGGGGTGCGGGCCGCGGGTCCCCCGGTTCTGGGGCGGCACTGTCCTCTGGGCAGCGGGGGGCCCTCCCGGGGCCTCGCTTTCCCCAGGGGACTCGCCTTCTCTCTCCCCAAGGGGCTCCCCCCTCCTCCTCTCGCCCAGGGAGTTCCTCCCCAGGGGTTCCCTTAGGGCACTGACCTGGAGACACCCCCCTTATCCTTAGGTTACCCTCTCCCCTTTCCCTGCAGATCCCCGGGGTTAGAAGGGGGGCAGCTGAGCTGTGGGATAGTTCCCCCCTCTCATCGTTGTTGTTACTTTTCAAACGGGCACGGAGCTGCCGAGGCAGAGCGGAGCCGGGCGCCCCCTCTTTTCCTAACGAGGCCAGAAGCCAGGCGGCCCCAGCCTGGACCTGGGTCGCCTTCACCCCAATCCTTAGTCTCAGCGTTTCGTGATGTTCATTTTGGCGGGAGGGAATGTGGATCGAGAGGAAAGAGAGAAGCCAAGACAATTTGTATCTAGAATCCATGTCCCCCTTTCCCCTTTTTTAAACAAAAACAAACAAACCTACAAAAAAAAAAAAAAAAAAAAAAAAAAAGGCTAAGAGGCGACGGAGGCCGAATGCCAAGTCCGGATCGGAGAGAAAACGCAGTAAGAACTTCTAGAAGCAATAAAAGGCTAAAAAATACTACTACCAATAATAATAAAAAGACACAAATATCTATGCAAGGAGGCTCTGACGGAGCCTAGCGGCCCGGCCCGGCCCTGGGAGGCCCCTCCCGGCCGCGGGTGGCGCCCCCAGCGCGGATCTGTGCACTTTGGTGAGGTGGGGCCGGCGGCGCCAGCTCCCTCCCCAGGTTCTTACAATCAGAGACTCGGAGATTTGGGGCCCCAGTGCCACTGCCCTCCCCCCGCCCCGAACCCGTTGTGCGTCATGCTGGGTTGTTTTTGTTTTTTTTTTTTGGTTGTTTTTTTTAAACAAAACCTGTTTCCAAATTTGAATGGAATGGCAAACTGTTGGGGGGTCGGTTTGGGGAGGGAGGGTTTGCATGAGAGACTACACACGCACACCACACCTCACGCACACTCGGGCCGGGCGCTGGCGTCCGGGGGCAGGGGGAGGAGAGCCCCGTGGCTCCCCTCCCCTCGGGCACCTGCACCCCTTCCTGTGGTGGGGAGACTGGAGGCCAGGATCTGGGGGCAGCCCCGCCCCGCCCGACTGTGCCCCCGGAGGCGCCAGCGCCCAGCGATTGATTCCGGTGGCCGGAGAAGGGGTTTCTGTCCGAGTTGTCTGTCCTCTGGGCTCAGGCTGGCAGGTGGGCAGGGAGAGGGCTGAGGGCTCCTTCTGGAAGCTCTTCCCCCCCCAAAAAAAAGGGGCAAAAGAAGACCCTCTCCCCACCGGAGGCAGGAGATCAGGCATCCCAACACACGGTGCAAAATGCAAACCCGCAGGCGACACACCCACTCACCCACCCGCACACCCACACGCAATTTCACCATCCTCTTGTAGCGAAGATTCAACTCCCGTCGGACACCCGAAGTGCATTGCGTGTTTCTGTTCAGTTTCATGACGATTAATAAATATTTATGTAAATGAGATGCAAAGCCCAGACCGGTTTCTCATGGTGGCCTCGTTTCATTCCAGGGACTGAGCTGGGGCTCTGGGTGGACAGTCCAGTGGCTGTGCAGAGCCAGACACAGGGGCCCTGGCCCTCCTGGTGGGATTCCCACCCTGGAGATCCCGCACACCCAGCAACGGGGCACCCAAACAGCGATACTCACTGTGCCTCCCAGACCCTACACACACACACACACACACACACACACACACACGCCCAGCACAAAGCATTGCACTCATCTCCTTACACTCCTTCAGCTCCCAAACATGCACACCGCGCACCTCCATGGGAAACAAATTATTATTATTATTATTATTATTATTATTATTATTTTATCACTGAAAAGTGACCGAGTTGGGAGCAGCCAGTTATTTGACAACCCTCTGCGCACTGTGGCAACAAAAACAAGTGTGCGGGGATCAACAGACAACCATGTAAGCCAGACATGGCTCTTTTTAATTTATTTTAAAAAATTAGAAGGTCATGAGGGTGGAATATGAATGGAGGGAATCTTTTCCGTCTTAAATTTGTGTTCAGTGGACTCCGGGGAATGTTGAGATCTGTAGGGGTGCTGATGAGGCTGACGGAACACTCCAGAACTCCAGAGGATGCCTCAGCCTAGGCGCCCACCAGGAAGAGTGGAGCCGGACCCAGCTCTGCGCTTCCCAGGCAGGGCAGTGGAGCCCGCCGGTTCGCAGCCCGCTTCCTGCCTGATGCGTCCTCAGCCCAGGGAGGCGGAGGAGGGCCCCTCGGAGGAGGATGTCTTGCCCTCGGCTCCCCCACCCCGGACATGGTAGCCTCTGACTTCCCTGAAAGGATTCTCCGTCCAAAAAGCACCGGGCGCCCACGGGACCCCTGGTATATCTGGAAAGGGGGCCAGGTCTCAAAGACCCTTCTCCCAAAGAAAGCCTGAGGACGCTTAGGGAAACCGGCACCCAGCTGTCTCTCACGCTGCTCACATCAATTCTCTTTTTAAAAACATTGTTTCTTGTTTTAGAACCGCAGTGGGGGCCGCAGTGTGTGTGGGTTTGGGGCTTGAGGTCCTGGCGTGCTGAGGCTTCCCAGATCCCCAAATGACAGCACCCTGACACAGTGGGGAGAACAAAGGTAGTGGAAGGAGAAAACCCCAAATGCAAACGGGTGGATCGTATTATACTGACCTTCAGCTGGGCGTCCCCCCTAAGTGACCACCCCAAACACGCTCAGTAGAGACGCGCCCTCCCTCCTCCACCTCCGGACGGTGCTGAAGGAGCGGCGCCCAAAGTGGGAGCTGTCCCAGCTCCGGTGCTGACTGTGCTGCAGCTTCGCGTCTTCCCTCCGCGGAGGGACGTCGCGCCAGGAGCACCAAACCGCCAGAGGCCCTTCCCAACGACCTTCAGGAATTGTTCCCATTTTCCGGAGAATGTCCCTGTACTTTTAAAAAGATCCACTGCCTTTTCTAGAATTCTCATAAGATCGTCTCTCTGGAGTGAGATAAAAACTGGGCCCTCATCGCCTGAATCTGCCCCTGGAGGTAGTGAAAAGGACTCTTACCGATCTCTGAATCACCCCCATTCTTGGGAGAAAGGAGTTGACCCACCTTCCTTCTCCCCCACATTTTGTGTGGAATACGGAGCAAGGAGCTCATCCTAGACCCAAATCTGCTCAGCTCATGGGGGGTAGGGGCGCCAAGGCCTGGTAGGGGCAACTGGCGGAAAAAGCAGCACAGCCTCCATCCAGAGCCTGGTGAACTGAGCCCCTCTCCCGCTCCACCGGTTCCCACAATCCTCCAGCACCAGGCGGCTTGGGGCTGGAAGTAAAGACCCTCCACCTGGCCCGCCTGGTCAGACTACAGACTCCTCAGCTTTGCTCTTCATGCTGCTCCACACAGCTCAGCTCCATTTCCAAAGCCTGACTCCAGCCCCTTTTCAAGGGATGCCGATGGCTCTTGGGCCATTGTGTCTGTGGTCACATTGGAGGGGTGGGGGCGCGCCTGGACCCCTTTTGGGGGTGGGGATCCTGAGTGCCTGGGCCTTTCCTCCAATTCCTGACCCTCCCCCCCACACTGCCTGCACTCTGGCTGCACTCTACCCTCCCCTTGCCCTCCTCACCAAGCTCAGCTTCCCTGGCAAGATGGTGAGATGAGCACGAGAAGAAGATGTGTGCGGACACAAGGCCCCAAACTCCCCCTCGCAGTTCTCTCCTCTTGCTGGCCTGTGTGCACACTCAGGGAGAGGCTCGGGAACAGAAGGGGAGGATGGCAGAAAGGGGCCGGAGTGGTGGAAGGGAGGGGATAGGTGGGATGCCCTCCTGGCCCCAGCCCAAGCAGCAGGGACCTCCAGGGGGCACCTACTGGCTCAGCCCACCCCTGGGCTGGAGCCCAGACCCGCCAAGAGGGCGTCTTCCCCTTGGTTTCCCCACCCCCACCTAAAGCGCAGCGTTTGGAAATGACAGGGAAACAGAGACGTCTTCGAGAGTTCAAGCCATTTGTCCATCCAGAAGGAAGGTGGGAAGTGCCATTGCTGCTTCTCCCCTCTCCCCTTCCCTCCTTTCCAGCCGGGAAGGCCACGGCATGCCCTCCTGGCCCCAGCCCCATCAGTGACCCAGTAAACAGCCCAATGGGAGCCAGCAACAGGGAGCCCTGGATCTCCCCAGGCGCTTGGGTTGACTCCATGGGTTGCTCCTCTCTCTCTCCTGGTTTTCCTTCTACGGGAAAGCTCACAAGCCTGTGGGCACAAGGTTGGGATTTCGTTCCCTCTTGGGTGACCTTTGTTTTCTTCTTTTCCCCAGAATCTGAAAAGTTGCCTGTTGATTGGAGGGGCATTGACACGGAAGGATAGCTCTAGATTCCATGGTTCCGTTCTCACGGAAAGCGGGAAGATGTGCAGGCCAGGCCCGCCCAGCCTTGGCCTCGACTCACTCCCAGGTTCCCCATGTGCAGCAGGGTCAGCCAGCCCCCCCCCCCAGGCCTGCTCCTGCTCCCCAGGGAGAAAGCTGTGTTCCCCAGGCGTGGGAAGGGGCGAGAGGCCTCGGCTGTCAGAACAGGCTTCCCAGCTCCCCGTGGCTTTTCTTTCTCGAGGGCTGGGTCCCCCAGGCACTGGCCACAGGCTCAGAGGGGAGGGGACCACCTGGGCTAGGAGAGATCTTAAAGCCCTGCCCCCCTTCCAAATTCGGAAGCGGTTTCTTTAAAAATTCTGGACGTTTTTCCTGGGTGAGAAGCGGTCAGAAAGGGCACAGACACCCAGGGGGGCTGAGCTGCTCTTGTAAACTTTCTCCACCCTAAAGCCGCCCCCCCCACCTGGGAGCAGCAGGAGAAACCCAAGGTGAGCAACGGGTTTCTGGGGGTGGGGTGGGAGAAATGCCAAGGGCTGGGAAAACTGGGGAGCTGATGGGAGAGGGCGAGGAAACCCCTAGTCACTAGTCGCGGCTGTGCCAGGGAGCTGGGCATGGCATTGGGTGGAGAAGCTGCCCAGATGTGCCCGCCCCCCCCCCCCGTGTGGTCCTGTCGCTGCCAACTCCTCTGCCAGCGCCAGCAGAAGGCAGCTCCGGCTCCCGGACAGGCTGGGCGGCTCCCCGACAGGCTGGGCTGCGGGTGGCGGCCTGGTGTCCAGTTAGTCCAACCTTCCTCTCGGCCTCTCCCGCCCCTGTCGGAGTCTCCTTCCCCTTTGGGGAATGAAGTGAATGGGGAACGCGTCTTTCTTTCCGGGAGGATGCGGCCTCCCTCCCGCCGAGGCCGCGCTGGCCGGAAGGCCGTGACTGCGAGGTCTGGCCCCACCAGAGCCCGGGGAGCGCCCGGGTCCTTCTGGGACCCGCGTGCCAGTCCCCACCGCAGCCAAGCCTTCGCCAAGGGCACAGCTGGGCGGGGTCTGGGCAGCCAGCCCGGCCTGGGACATCTGTTCTCGCCAGAGTGGCATTAAAGGCGGGGGCCAGGGGTGGGGGCTCAGAGCCAGCCCCTCCATCCCAGAGCGGGCTGCCCTCGGACCCGCGGACCCGCGGCCAGGCGCAGGCACGGCGGACTGGAGGAGTTGGTCCTCTCCCCTGGGGAACAGAGCGCAAGGCGCGGGGCGGGGGGTTTTCCGCC